AACTGAATATGCAAATTGAAAAGAGAAACTACATGAAAGGAGAATAAAATGAACCAGAATAATCTAAACAAAATTTAGGTGGGTATGGCTGCACTTCACAAACAGACTCTTATAACTGTGCTATCAGAGTAACTCAGTCACATACAGAGAGAAAAAATATGGCTGGCCTCAGACTCTTCAACAGCAATGCTCAGTGCAAAAAGACAATAAAGTGGTAGCTACAAAATTCTAAGGGAAAGAAAATGTGACAGCTGTGTGGTCATTCAATGAAGGCTGACTACCTCCTTGGACTGTGATGGAATAAGAAGGCCAGAATGGCCCTATAGTCTTAAAAAATTAGTAAGACAGAAAATAATATATGAAGGAATGGTTTCTATAATAGACATCAGACATCAGGCAGCACAGGGCCATGATTCCTGAGATAAAAGAAACACGTGAAGTAAGACTGACAATTGCCCCAGGAAGTTTTCAAGGAGGAAATTTCCAGGTTATGGTGCAGAAGGGGAAACCAAAGAAGCCAATGGTCTTCTGGAGTTGAACAGAAAGAAACCAAGGTTTGAGGAGGCCAAAGTGCTAGGATTGGTGGTGAGTGCTGGAGAGGAGAGAGCTGCAGAGGGAAGCTGTAGAAATCTAGAGGGATCCCTGGAATCATTAATTGAGTGCTGAGGCACATACCTCAGAGGAAGCTATGGAGACCAGGCAGGGAGCCATGGCAAAGCCGAGTAACAAACAATTCCTGGAACTTACACAGGACTGGAAAGAAAGATCTCTTAATAGAGAATCCAGAAAGAGACCCACACAGATATGGTCATCTGATTTTCAAAGAAGACGCCAAGGCAGTTCATCAGGGAAGGGATAATCTTTTCAAGAAACCAAACTGGGACAACACCCTAGCCACACGCATAAAAATGAACCTCAGCCCTTACCTCGTATCATGTACAAAAATTGACTCGAAATAGACTATAACCTTAAATATAAGACCTAAAGGCATAAAATTTCTAGAACAAAACACAGGAAAATAAATCTCTGTGCTCTTGGATTAGGCAAAAAATTCTTAAATATAATAGTTAAACCATATTCCATAAAATGAAAAAATTGGTAAGTTAGACTTCACCAAATTTTTAAAATTTTGCTCTTCAATGACGCTGTTAAGGAAATGAAAAAACAACCCAGATACTGGAACAAAATGGTTGCAAGATATATAACTAATAAATATATGATATATGTAAAACATATATCTAATAAATATATGATATATGTAAAACATATATCTAATAAACATTGTATCTTGAGTGTAAAATATAAAGAATTCTTACAACTCAACAAAAAGAAGACAGTAAGAAAATGGACAAAAGATGTCAACAGAGGCTTCACCAAATAAAGTATATGAATGGCAAACAAACACATAAAAAGATGTCCAATATCATTAGTATTAGCAAAATGCAAATAAAAACCACAGTGAGATATCAGTAAACACTCATTATAATGACAAATCTTGAAGGACTTATAATAGCAAGTGCTGGTGAGGATATGGAGCAACTGAAACTATCATACATCTCTTGTGGGAATGCACAGTAGAACAGCCACTTGAGAAATCAGTCTGTCCGTTTCTTATAATGTTAAATATACACTTACCATGTTCCAGTAATATCTCTCTTATTTATTTACACAAGAAAAAGGAATCAGGTATCCACACATAGACTTGTACTCGAATGCATAACAGCTTTCCTCTTAACAAATATAATGTATCGATGTAACTGGAGTCTACCAAAATGTTCATCAACTGCTGAGTGGATCAACAAATGTGTGTCTATATCTAGATGAATCTAAAAAATAAAGTCAGATACAGAAGACTACTTACTATACCATTTTTATGAAATTATAGAAAAGCCAAAACTATAGTGACAGAAAAGCAGACCATAGAATGGTAACTTAAAGCAATATTTCATGTAAAATTACAAACATTTTCCAGTGCTAGAGAAAAAAGGGCTTTCTCCTACATTTATGGTGGGATTATGAATTGCAAGCCAGTTTGGGGTCAATCTGTATTTAATATAATAAATCTAAAAATGTCTATCTGACTCAGCAATTCTCCTGAGATGTATTTTAAGGATATAGTTAATGATCTGTATTCAAGCAAATTTATATAAGCAAAAAATTTAATAATATCCAAAATGCCCAAAATGAAACATTGTTAAATAAATGAGGGTAAATTCATTAAATGGAATAGCATAGAGTGACATAAAATGTTGTAAGCATTGAATATAAATTGTCTACAAATAAAATCTCAATAAAACCATAAGAGTAGATATTTTAAGATCACATTCTTTGATTAAAAATTATAGAAAACTGGAAACAAATAACGAAAATAGAAATAATGCTATCATACAATTATCTTATAAACTTTGTCCTCAACAAACAGGAAATAAAAAATGCAATTTAAAGATGTTAAATGCCGATTTACATATATAAAAACCTATGGAACCTAGCCAAAGATATATATATATATATATATAGAGAGAGAGAGAGAGAGAGAGAGAGAAATATTCATGGTTTTAAATATTTTATTAATGCAAAAACAAAATAAGAAAATAAAACATTCATTTCAGAAAATTAGAAAAGGAAAAACTAAATAAAAGACAGCAATAGAATAGCAGCAAAGATAAAATTTAATATTAGAAAAAGACCCAGGAAATGAAACAGATATGCAGTAAGGAGCAGAGAAGACAACAGAAATTCTGGTTCTAGTAATTTCCTGAGTTCTCATTGTCACCTCGCCTTGGGTAATGTGAAATAATCCTGTATCTTAAAAAAAAAAAAAAATCACTTTTCTGTTTCACACAAACTTGAGTTGATATGTAAATAGCCTTAATAACTGTTGAGTTAGGATACCAAATCCAGAAAGTATAAAGTATAAGACTGAAATATTTGGTTACATAGACATTTTTAACTTGAGCCAGTAAAATATCTACACATAATGTTTAAAATGTATAAATGTATAAATATGATTGAAATGCAAATAACAAAATGAATATATATATTCAATGAATATATTTCAGTATACATATATATATATCCACAAGATACACAGAACTGATAAAAGTTTACTGTCTTTACTGTACAAAAAGTCATGAATAAAAAACGTCTCTATATAATAGATGAGCCAACATCATAAACAGAAAACTGTGTCAGTAAAACTACACATGGGTAATAAGCTTATTAAAATATAGCAACTCTAACTGACATGTAAAAATCAAATAATGCCAACAAGCTACTTCTTGTCTCCCAGCTTGTGAAAGATTAAAAATACTAGCAATACTGTGCTGTGGGGAAGCTGTGGAAATTGGGAACTCTTATGCAAAATGCTGTTGGTAGAAATTTAAATTGGGACACACTTTCTGCTGGTGTACATATATTTTTTGTTGACTCAACAATTCTCCTTCTCAGAATTTATCTCAAGGAAATCCTAGAAAGGTTAGCAAGGTTGAACATAAAAGGAGTATCACCACATCATGGGTACAACAGTGAAAAGCTGGAAACAACCTCAATGTCCACCAAAAAGGGTTTGTAGAAATAATTTTGTGGTTGCTTTGTACAATGGTAAACGTGATCTATCGACATGAAAGGATTGCCATGGCAATTTGTTGAAATTTTTATGAAGCAGATTATAAAATAGAACATAGAGTAGGACTCGGTTTTATTATAAATGTGTGCATGATGCTACACCAGATGTTTGTCTCCTCTGAAACTCATATTGGTGAGTTTCAGTGTGGCAGTATGGAAAGTTGCCACTTTTATGAGGCAATGGAGTTATGAGGGCCCTGCCCTCATGAATGTATTAATTCTTTCATGGACTAATGGATTAATGGACCAATGGGTTTTCTCCGGAGTGGGACTGGTGGCTTTATAAGAAGAGTAAGAGAGACCTGAGCTAGCAGTGTCAGCCCACTTGCTATCTGGCCACCATGATGCCCTGTACCACCTCAGGACTCAGAGTCCTCCCTAGCATGAAGGCCCTCACCAGATGTAGCCCCTTGGCCTTGGACTCCTCAGCCTTTAGAACCATAAGAAATACATTTCTGTTCTTTATAAATCACCCAGCCTCGGGTATTCAGTTATAGCAGCAGGAAGCTAAGACATAAAGCTATCGGTATGAAAGTCTTTGCCCAACTATGAACACAATTACTTTTTCTAGGATAAATTATTTATTATATCTACTTTCTTCTTTATTCTTGCCAGTTCCATTTGAATACATTTTTGTAATGGGCCTATGTAATACAAAATACAATAATAAATACAAAATTATTTTCCACACTAGGAATAGGGCCAGAAGGAACTAACTACTGAAATTCTGTCCCACCCTTTAGAAGTGTGGTTAAAATTAATAGACTTAAATGGAAAAAATAGTAAGTTTTCCAATAATATACATGTTTTGAGGATGTAGGAAAGTGTGTACCTTCACTGTATTAAGGGCATGGTGGGTGACTGGTATCTTTTTCTAATGAGCAGCTGGGCAATGTGTAGCAACAGCTTCAGTAACATTCACAGACTGACTCACTTCTAGAAGTCTAAGCAAGGAAATAAGTGGAGATATGAATAAAGGTTTATGCCTAAAGATATTTGTGTGTTCTTTCTCAGTCATAATTGTGAAGTTGAAACAACATAAATGTCCACAATAGAGAAGTATATGTTTACATATTTCCAATAATTCTTGGAGAAGTTGGGATTTCATGGTTGTTGTCTGGTAGACTCAGCAACACTTTGGGAATACAGATCCTCCACACCCTATTATTTAGGAATTCTACTCCTGTCATGATATGGTAGGCTAAACTTGCTTCCATGACACTTGGCCAAGGATTATAAATTAATTGTGTGATTGAGGAAGTCCCTGGGAAGACCATACCCACCCCTTGTTCATGCTGGTTGGCTGTAACCATAGCAGCCTCTTACTCCAGACCAAAGTTCAGCTACTGTAAATTTTATGACCATGTTCAGAGTTCAATGTCCATTAGCATAACCCTTCCTTAGGAAGAGTGAGATTTTATATTTGACAACAAAGTGTTAGACTCTATTTCTAAGTACTAGACTTCAAATGATAAGGTCCAAAAGTGTTATAAGAAGATATTCATTTTTTTGTCCTGGAGAACTTATTTTCCTGTGAAAATGCCTACCACAAAGAAGACATTGATGTTCTTATCAAGCTTTTTCACCAGCCTTGGGTCTTTCATTGTAATTTGCTCGATTCTTGGGACACAAGCATGGATCACCAGTACAATTGCTGTTGGAGACTCTGCTTCAAATGGGAGCATTTTCATCACTTATGGACTTTTTCGTGGGGAAAGTAGTCAAGAATTGAGTCACGGACTTGCAGAACCAAACAAAAACTTTGCAGGTAAATGATAAACTAATTTGAATGGATATCATGAGATTGAATTCAGGTTTATGTCATTCTATATTTGGGCCAAATAACCATTCAAAAATAATTTATTTGTAAGTTTTGGGTTAGGCTGACGATGCAAGCCTAATAATACAAGATAATTTTGGAAATTTGCCATGCCATTATTTGAGCTTCCTCAGTTCTGCTTGTGTCTATTAGTACAATAGTCTAAATCATTCCAGCAGTGGTGATATTTAAATAACACCTACCAAGTTGATTGACAAGTAAATAAGTAAAAATATGTGACAGCAATATGGCATTGAATAGCCAGTAGGAATGCATGTTTTAACTGTATTGACTGGGTTTTTAGTTGGACCCACAACCTCTGTCTAGAATTTCACAAGTGGCATCTATGCAGGAAAGAGTAAAATGGGAAATTAATTATCTCTGTTTCTCAAGTTCATTTCTTTAACTGATTTGAATTTACCTCCAAAATATCTAATCGTTGGGAATTATATTAAATTTCCATTAATTAATTGTATATTTGATAGGAATTCCTAAACTTTTTATTTCCTGATTTCTTATATAATAATGCCATCCTCTCAATGGAAGAATATTAAAAGTTCATTGAGAATAATAAGTTGATTTAGCTACTTATTTGGCTTTTGAAGTTTGATACCTACCTTCATGTTTTCTAAATTTAAAAACATTTGTAAGTTATGTAACATATTAAATGGACTTTGTTTTGAACAAAGTTGTATGCTAGTATTATACAGACATTACCGGGTATCATACAATCATTACCTTTTGACTCATAAATATGCATCATTTTCTACCCTATACACATGTAATGTTTAGTCCTTGTGTAATGCAAAAAGAAGTTTGAGTCCTGGACACTAGCTGTAGGTTCTAGCTCTAGTGTGTTTATGATTTTGTTAATGAAACTATTTTCTTAAATCCAAAGCAGCCTGGTTGTGTTCCCAAGTTATACATTTGTCATTTAGATGTTAGCAAAAGCAGCGTCTCCCCGGGCATTGCCAGAGCCTTTCAGGGACATCTCCTCTGGTGTCAACCTCAGCTTCCCATAAGGATGGGGAACATTGGCTTTCCAGCAACTTTCAAAGACTCAGTCATGCTTTCAGTTATATGAATAGCATTTTCAAAACCAAAAAGTGTCCTGAAACCTCAGACACATTTAAAAAATTGTAAGAGACAAAACCTACCAGTTTTTTTTGGTTTCCATATGGTGTCTGTTTGGAACCAGTTGATTTCCAATTTGAGATAAATGGCTTCAAAGAAAGCATCAACTATCTCTATGCACGGAGACTCAGAGGAGGCCAGGATGGGTCAGGACCTGGCTCTAAAGCCCTGTGTGCATGCAGGTGAGCATGGTGATGTCAGAGGACCAGAGCAGGCACTCGTCCCTGAAAGGGCCCAGGGCCAGGTAGGTGCGGCAGCCCAGGTGAGAGCACAGTGAGGCAGAATATTTGCCTTCCCTTTGCTGGATCTCTACTTTCAGTCTTTGTTACTGAGGAGCCACATTCTGACTTTCCACAAGTCACTGCCCAACCTCCTGGTGCTGCAGAAGGTGAACCGCCACCCAATTAATGAAGGTGCTGCACTGTCACTCTGGTTGACACCTAAGGACCCCTCAGAGCCTAGGGGGTCTTCATTGCCAATGATTGTAATAATCGTTGAGCTTGAACACCTGTAAGCAGTTCTTTCAGACAGGGGAAAGTCATCTTACTGGAACCTTCAACTTGTAGTGTTCAGCTGCTAACAATCCTGGGACGCTTCACCTGGGAGCAGCCCTGCAGTGTGCACAATGAGACATGGGTGCTCTCCTATGGTTTCTCATGGCCACCCGGGGCTTCTTTCAAATCAGAAACCAACCATGGGCAGTAGAATCAAATCTGTATAAATGCCCCTTTCTTGCCCAACAGTGGTGGACTGACCGTTCCAATTGAGAAGTTGACCACATGAGCTTCTTGGCTAGGGCGAGGTCACATCAAGAGTCTCCCAAGAGTAATAATTATTGCAAAGCTCTGCTGTATTTCTGCATGGTATTTATCACATTCAGCCAGTTTTGTCTGTAGATTTTGAAACAAAATAGCAGAAGGAAGCAATGACGGCTGATTTCAAAGTGCCAGAATAATTCAGCCAACGTTGGTCAATCTGTGGGGAAAATCGTTCTTCAGACCTGGTAAGGAAATTCTCCAGTGTGTAACTTGGAGGGTGCAGGCAGCTCAGGCTGACTGGCTGCATCCTGGTTTGCCCAACATCCAGGTGAAAAGTGGCAGGTCCTGTATGTCCACCTGTGAGCAGGTTGTCTTTGCTACTCCCAAAGTTCTGGAGATCTGATTTCTGTTCCAAAACACTTCCCTGAGCAGCTGCTGCGTGTATGAGGGGCTCAGGAGACTGAAAGGAATTGCACATGGTTCCTGGCCTTGGAGGGCTCACCATCCAGTGTGAGAGAAAGACCCTTCCTCAGTTAAAATCGGTGCCCTGCACTCACTGCTGGGGCATGGTATGTGCAGGTCTGCATGGAAGCAAGGGTTTGAGGGGAACGCGTGCCTGCAAAGCCCCGTTGGAGGACAGAATCCTGAAAAATGAGCTGCTAGGAGGTGTAAGCTCACACTGTGGCCACCCAACTCCCTCTCAGTTCTGGATCTTGGGTGCCATGTAAAAGGAAGTCATTCCTTTAACCCTGTGTTTTGCAAATGTGGTCAGGGTCCGGAAGCATGGTGTGCTCTGTTTCCTCACACTGGCAATCATGGCAAGATGAGTCATTCACATTTAGGACATGGAATTCCCGTGAATGTCATTTCAAATATTACTCAGCCTACACGCTGACCAGAACGTATTTTTTACAGAATCATTTTGACAGGAAAAGTTTCTATGATAGTTTGTTGTTGTTGTTGTTGTTGTTGTTTTGTTTCATCACCCAGGCTGCTTCACACCCAGACTGGAGTGCAGTGGCGCCATCTCGGCTCACTGCAATTTCCACCTCCTGAGTTCAAGCAATTCTCGTGCCTCGGCCTCCCTAGTAGCTGGGGTTATAGGAATGTATACCACGGGTGGCTAAATTTTGTATTTTTAGTAGAGACAGGGTTTCACCACGTTGGCCAGGCTGGTGTCAAACTCCTGACCTCAAGTGATCTTCCCACCTTGGCCTCCCAAAGTGCTGGGATTACAGGCATGAGCCACCGCACCCGGCAAGACTTTTCTTTTCTTTTCTTTTTTGAGACAGGGTCTTGCTTTGTCACCCAGTCTGGAGTGCCATGGTGCGATCATAGCTCATTGCAGCCTCTACATCCTGGGCTCCAGAGATCCTCCTGCCTCAGCTTCCGGTGTAGCTGGGACCACAGGCAAGCACCACCACACCCAGCCACTTTTCTGATGTTTTGTGGAGACAGCGTGTCACCAGCCCAGGCTGGACTTGATTATGAGAGATATTTCTCCTCTTGTGACACTACACTCTTTGTTCTCAGTTCCAAGAACAGTCTGATTTGCAGATGTGTGGGACTTTGAGCAGTCACGTTGCCTGCAGCGGAAGGTAGAATCACCTGGGATGCGGGTGAGGCATCCCCACCCGGACCAGATGAATAGCAATCTCCGCGGGGTGAGGCCCTGACCTGCTCGTTTTTTAAAAATCTTCCCAGGTGATCCTAATTCAGTGTTGACAACAACCAAGGCCAGGCACTAGAGTGATAGGCATTGCTGTACTGGGTATTGCTTTTTAAGTCCTTTGGATGTGGCCTGCTTAAAATTAAATTAATTGATTGGCAAAAGCTCTAGACAACCTTGCAAAGGAAGCAAGGCAGACTGAGGGAAAGCTCGGCTCCCGGCTGGCCTTTCAGTGCTGCATCCGGGTCAGGACCCACTGCAGCTGGCGCGAGTCTCTCCCCACCTGGCACTCCCCCGCCCGCTAGTCTCTTTTCTCCACCGACCTCCACGTGTTCTCAGGGAGCTCAACATTGCACCATTAGTCCAGGCTAAAAATAATTAGAAAAATAAATCTGCTGCAGAAACTAATGAATTGCAAAGAGAAGAACAAATGAAGTTTATTTCTCCAGAATTCATAAAGAGCCCCCACCTTACTACTCCTGCCCTGTCCGCATAAGGAGAGTCTCCTGGAGAGCAGTGTTCATCCTCCGCCCCGAGGGATGTCACCACACTGGGAGGGGAGAGTATAGAGGACAAAAAGGTGCCCGCCCAGGCTCAGGCTCATCCTCTGCCCCGAGGGATGTCACCACACCGGGAGGGGAGAGTATAGAGGACAAAAAGGTGCCCGCCCAGGCTCAGGCCACTTCTCCCCAAGGAACCCTGGCAACTTTCTGAGAGGCTGGGGCACCAGCCTGGGCTCCCTGGGAGAGCTACCAGGTCACACTGGGAGATCTGCTGATAGAACGAGCTCCTCCCTCAGGTACTGGGAGCTGCCCTGTTCAGGCTCCCTGGTGACCAGGTGTTTATGGAGGGAGTCACAGTAATTCCCACCCATCCACTCACAAAGCCATGGGCTCTCCCTTGATGTCCGAGGACTTACCGAGAACCGGAACTCAAAAGGCAGATGGCAAGTGGGGCCTGAAGGGTTACATTTCCCTGCGTGGGGAGCCCGGATGTCCGGACGGCTCCCAGCGGCACCCATTATCCACTGCCCAGCAGCACGCTTCTGCCTCCCAGCTGCGGGATCTGCGGGTCAGGCGCTCTTCTCTCTGGCCACGTTGTTCTTGGCTGTTTCCTGGGACAATTAGCGCCACCTGTGAGGTGGCTTTCCTGATTCACACGCTTGCCCCCTAAAAGGAAGAAAAAGAACGGAATGTGTTTGCTAATTTTTCAGGCAGAGAGCAGCTGTCAGATGCTATGTAAGTTTATTGTCATTTCATTCTTGATAACTTTCCCTGAATTTTCAGCTTTTATTGTCTAAGTTCTGAGCCAGGAGCTGGAGGGGAGATACAGCTGTCAGACCTGTGTGGCAGGAAATTCAGAAAGCCGGAAAATAATTTTAAAATCCA